ACTATGCTGTCATTAATATATTGATATAGTCAGTGTCATAGGAAAAAACCCCATGACTTATTCTAAAGTAAAGAGTGGTGAGCAGATTATAAAGTAACATGTAGTTTGCAATTTATTTATGCAAAATATAACTATATATTTATGGATATATATGCATGGAGATTGGCTAAGCAGAAAAGTAATGGTCGCTTGAGTGGTGGTATTTTGAGAGATTTTGTTACTTTTTAATTTTGATTCCCTTCCTTTTATTTTTTACAATAAGTTTCTATAGATTTTGTAAGTGTACACTTATTTTCAAAAGAAAAAAGAAATTTTCTTTAAAGAGTAGCTTTAGAGAACAAGTTGTACATTCATGCAGAATTACAAATCTGCGTATTATTCTTCAGATGTTGGGTATAGGCATACAACTGGGTTTCCAGTAAGATCTTAGTACTTTTTTGAAATATTAACACTGCGGATATGTTTTACCTTTTAACCATACACACACACAGACATACACACACATTATTTTAAGTTATGAGGAACAGTTTAGAAATGCAAATGTCCTTTATTTCATTAGAGATGGACAGTAGCTGTTTTATTCTAGCGGCTAATTCATAGACTTTTTAATATTATCTCTTGTTGAGAAGCCAAATATATTATTCCAAGTTCTGAATAACTTGGTATCCTTTGTCTTCCTTTGTGTGAAAAGTGGAACAGTGTCCGTTATAGAGGAAAATGCTGTATCTCAGGAACAGGAATGTAAAAACCGGAGGCAGGACCACACACAATGCCTTGGCTAATGATAGGTTATGTTCTGTATCATTTCTTGCATTTCAGGGGATAATATTTACCTCTGTTCTCCCCATATATACTCCTAATGCTCTGCTTCATTTCTGCTTTCAATTCTGGGCTCAGTTTTTAAAAATCAGAAACATCTTTTTCCATAGGAAGTTGAGAATACCATGCTGAGGTAGGTCCTGGAGGGGAGGGCTAACACAGGCCAGGCAGAGAGGGTCTGCTGGAGATCTGGCCTGCACACACCCGCTCTGCAGTCAGGAAGAGTTCCTGCGTCTGAGTGCTAGGCTGCCTGCTGCACATGCCTCAGCCTCGCCAAAGCCACAGGTCCCTCAGGGCAGCCAGTGCAGAAAAGGAAGAAACACGGTGCTCTGGGCGCCGAGGAACAATACCCCCAAATACTAAGGATGTATCTAAATGCTGATATTTTTCTCCCAAGAGATGCTAGAAAGAAATATGCAATTGAGTCAACAGCCTTTCTTGTTTTTTGATGCTCAGATCTTTTAGTGACAGGTTTCCTAAATCTCTCTTTAGTGTTTCTTCCTGTTTCTTCTTATTGTTCCTCCTCTGATTTAGATGCATCACCATGAAAATACTACAGACTTTCATTTTTGAGGAAATTTCTTGGTTTGCATTCTCAGCAAAGCACGGCTGTGTGCGTGTGCAGGCCAGTGTTCATTTACGGTCTGCCTGTGCGACCATAGAGGGTTCATGGAGATCATTTTCTTATACTGCGCACAGCAGACTACAGAGGGAACATGGCTGCCCGTCAAGGGATCTGTGCCATCAGAACATTTGGTTTCTAGTCTCCCAAGTCCTCTTTGTTTTTGATCGTGACATTTCTTCATGCTCAGATGCATACGTGATGTAACATTCTTTGTTGATGTTCTGAAATGTGTTTTAGAGTTATTTTGGCTTAGCACAAAATAAGAATGGGGAACTAAACTTTTCTGGTTGAAATGTTAATCTTTTTTTTTCCCTTTCTTATTCTTCTGCCTTTCTGTAGCATGTATATTTGTATGGCTTTAAACCGAAAACTGGTATTTAATAGACCCTAGACTGTTTTGTTGGAAATAGGGCAAATGAGAAGTCTCTCTAGAGGATTTGTAGGCCATTACTGTGGTGGAGGAGAATGCCCTGAAGGGGAGTTCCTTGCAGCCTAATTGTTGAGGAATGATGGAAGTTCAACAGCATGGAAATTCTACTTCTCGCTTCAACTGAAAAGGTGTTTATAAAGGTAGCTGGGCTATTTTAGCAATTTGCCTTATTTTGAAAATCCAATTTGGAAGCTTCATTAAAGGGCACTAATTTAGTGTCTCAGGGGAATATGTGTTTAAAGGAGCTTGTCGACAATCTTAGATGTTTGCCAGTGTGTAGGTGAGCTCAACTCCCCATGCTGGGGTTACCTGGTTACACGTGTGCTCTTTCATTTCAGACATGATACCAACTAAATTCAAAAGCACCCAAACCAAGCGAATAACAGTATCACTTTCTCTTTCCCCATTACCACCATTTTCCACCCCTAGACTTAGGATACTTTCTATGTATAAACACTTCTGCAACTTGTATTGTGGATCTGTCACCTAGAGGTCCAATAAAGTAGACAACAGTTTTAGTGAATTTAGTGGTAGTTAATGTATGACAGGCAAAGACCTTAAGGAACGGACTGTTTCAATTTGTTTAAGGAACTACAAATACTTTCTGAATGCCTAAAAGAATCACTTATTTCTCACTGCCTGCCTAATATTCCCAGAAGTATATTTCAGTCCCATGTTGGGATGCAAAATTTAAAATTGGCTACCTGAGTACTAATTATCTATACGGTCTCAAATAAACTTGAGCCTTCTCCAGTTCCTAATTTATTGACAAAATATTATGAGAAAAGGTAGAAAAAATTTTTTGAAGCAAATTATTTTTATTCTTCTTTAGGATGCATTCTTTTTAAATAAAGGTTAAAATTGCAATAAATTTTGTCATCAAGCTTGTCTATACACTGTTCAGACATCGAAACATTCTGTCTTATTCCTTTACATAATCTCTGGAGTTTGTAATAAAAGCACTGGTTGAGTTCCCTCTCCCTCAACTCAATGGCTCTAATTTCTAATCCAGTTTATAGGATCCAGTTCCATTTTTTTAGTGAACTCTCAGAGTGAAATCTGATTTATTCTAGGAAGACTTTTTGTTAAGAACAAACTGCTAAGGTTTTCTGTTAGTAGATTACCCATCCACCCATTCAGGAAATGCTTAAGTGTAGTCCTGTCCAGAAGGAAAGTCAAGCACACTGAACCTCTTCCCACGATGTCCCCGTTGTGTGAATTTATGAGCCGGCACAACAATTTCCCCCAAAGAAAAGGAGGTTTTTTAGAACATGACTTGAGATGAAGGAACAGAAAGAGAATTAGAGATACTTTTTATTAGTTTTTCCTTGAATTCCATATGATCGGAAGGAGGGGGAAATTCTGGTCAAAAGGCTTTTGGAGAGGACTGAGTAGAAATGCTCAAAAAATAGATCAACATAAGGGTCTTGAATTCTTTAGGCTTTATTTGCTGAAACCTCATACGGCGGATTTGTTCTTATTCCAGCAAGAGCTGATTCCCAAGGGAGACAATTTCTAATATTTGGAAAATAATTATCTATTTATCAAGGGCCAGTACAACCTTATCCTAATTTTTTTCATAGCGTTTTCTAGGAGTATACATATCATCTGTTTGAGATTTATAATCAATATCCTAGCATATATGAACATGCCTATAGCTGTTAAAATTATGTTTCTATAAAAAGCGGAAGGCACATCCCACTATAAACAATAAATCTGTTTACAAAACTATAAACAATAAATCTGTTTATAATGTCTGTCATTAGGAATGGATGTCAATAAATGAAACTAAAAAGACATGGAACTTTTCATGACATGGTTTATGCTAGTTATTCATTTGTTGTCTATTCATGGGGTTACTAATTGCAGCTGGTAAAAGTTGATTTTCTCCTCTTCCATTTGTGGTGGGTTGGGGCGTTCATTGCACCAGATCCATAGTTATCCAGCGTCTACATTTCAGAGGCTGAATTGCTGGATACTGTCAAAAAGAGCTTTGGCAATTCCATGCAGGCGTGTACAACTATAATTTTGCTTCCCATTAATAATAACCTAGCAAAGAAGCCCAGAATCAAAAGCCTTGCTCTCAGCTGGGGGCAGAAAACCAGAGTGATATATCTTGGCTGGTGACCTATAATGTTGGAAAAGTATGCGCTACATTCACTCCGGAGAGGTGGGCGGTATTCCGGAAATATATTCCCATTCCTCCACGATTCTTTTTTTTTTTTTTTTTTTGGTAGTAGGTGCCCTGAGACAATGGGAAAAAAATGAATTACAGATAATAAACATAGCACATCTCCAGAACAAACGGGAATGCAGCGCTTTTATTTCTTCGGATGTCAACTCTGTTCGCTGCCCCACGCCCTGCCCTGCCCGGGTCTCTGCGGCACCTCTGTGGTTCTGAAGCCGCGGGCCGGTGGGCCGCGGGCCGGGCAGTCGCCTGCGGGCAGAACACTTGGCGCTGCACGCCGGGACTTTTGGTCTTGCTCAAAGCCGCGAATCTCTGAGAGCTCTGAGGCTATCGGATTCATTCGGGTGGAGTGAGGTGTTGTTATTGTGGGATATTCTCTGCAGAGTTGGCCTGGAGAGTGAGCACCGCAGGAAGGGAGTGAGCGCGGTTTCTCCGAGTGTCGGCGGGTCGGGAGGCGCCCCCCGGAGCGGTACGCTGGAGGGCTCGGCCCGGGGGCGGGTGGGGGAAGGCGTGCTTGCCGGCGGGGAGCGGGGAGGCGGTGTGGAGGGGCAGGGGGCAACGTGCCAGTTTTCCCTCTGATTAATGATGCTCACGCTGCCGCGCGTGGCTCATGCGCTTTGTCTCTAGCCTTGGGGCTGGCGGAGAACGGCCACGGGAACGATGGCACCGCGCGCGCTGGGCGCCCCGGCCAGGTGCCCGCGCTCCGACTGGGCCAACTCTGGCCGCGCCCCGTGGCAGAGAGGCCCGGGCACCCGCAGGCGCCCGGCCGTAGCAATCTCCCGGGTGCGGCGGGTCGGGGGACTGGAGTCTGCAGCCGGAGCGGCTGCGGGGCCACATGCCACACGCGCGTTGCCTCCAGCCCGGGCGGGGACCAGACGCGGCCGGGGCTGCAGGGAGGAGCCGGGCGCCGCCCCCGGCGGCAGTGCCAGCCGCGTGGGAGGGCAGGGACGGGCGGAGGGGCAGACGACGGAGGCGGGGAGGCAGGGGACAAGGGACCGCGGGACGGACCGAGGCTGGCTGGCTCAGGGTGGGACTGACAGAGTGACAGAGCAACGGACAGGTGGAAGCAGTTAGACAGCTTGAGACAGGGAGACTGGAACGCAGGGAGAGGGAGAGACAGAAGGAAAGAGAGAGAGAGTGTGTGTGTGTGAGAGAGAGAAGCACTCGCGTGCTCCCTTCCTTCCAGAAACCCTCCTCTGTCCGAGGGAAGCGACCGGGGCACTGCTTGGGAGAGAGAGAGAGATGCGGGCACAGAAGACGGAAAGAGGGACCCTGCATTGCTAGGAGGACCGAGAGACGCGGAGGGACGGACAGATCGACTTGTGCACGGACTGACAGCCAACGAGAGGGGCAGCTCGGAGAGCAGAGCGCAGGAAAGCTAGAATCCCGCGCTGACCTGCGAGGCTGAGCGACAGACGGTCAGACAGACAGACGTGCAGAGGTACAGACTGGCAGACAGGAGGCGGGGGCACGTTCACTCCCTGCAGCCAGCCGGGCAGAGAAGGCGGCGACGGCGGCGCCCCCTGAGCGCGTCCGGAGCTGCGACAAGCAGCAGGGGCAGCAGGGTCGCCAGCAGAAGCCACCGCCGTCGCCGCAGCCTTAGCCACCACAGCCGTGCGAGGAGCTCAGCGGACGCTGCAGAAAGCCCGTTTTACTAGCAGTTAAATAAATCGACCAAAAAAAAAAAAAACAAAAAAACAAAAAAAGCCAAGCCAAACCAAACAAATCCAGCCAAATCAATCATTGAGAAACTATAATATTAATAAAAGCAAAAAACTAAATCAAATCAATCAAGGCACCAAGACGCTGGGGGGATATCCACTGTTCGGTCAAGGTAATAATCAAGGTCTTCCGACGTGAACATTGCACGCCTTTTGTGATTTATATTCTCCTTCTTTCTGCCATGTATCTATGCTTTTCTTTCCAATTGTTTCTTGTCTGTATTTCTCTTTCGTGTTTGTAGAAAGCTGTTGTTATATATGTGTTGTGTTTTTACATTTCCTCAAAGGAGGGGGTCGACTCCCCCTCCTCCAAATGAGGCAGAAATGGAAAGCTGGAAGAAAACTGAAAAGGGCAGTCAGTTCTTTTCATCAAAGTCTACAGTGATTTATGCAGGTTTCATAGTAGAAAGTTGGGAATGCTTATTTCATTTGAAAGAGAGCTATATAAGAGGCAAATTTGTAATCTGTTTGTTGTCCTCGCAGCACTTGGGGTCCTGGCTCCCAAGGGGTTTAGGGGAAAAAAAGATGTTCAGTTTTATTTTTACATGTTTGATAGGCATGTTTCATTGCAACCACCAATTTAATGTCATCTATCTCAGGCTGTGGATATGGTGGTAGAATTGAGTTGAATTAGACAGGTGTTTAGAAAGTTTCTTAGGAAGAGAAATTGACTCATTCAATGTCTATGCATAGAAATAGAGCTGGTGTGGATGTGTTGACAGCTACTCAGTTTCAGTTCTTGATAACCTTCTGAAGATACAAAATAAGAACAGAGTCCAAGCTAAGCCCAAAAGGAAAAACAAAAGGGAATTGAAAGTTACAGGGATACGAAGCTAGTAAGTACAATGCAAGGCTGGTAGACATCACTTTCGTGAGAATGTGCTTAGAGTGCAGGTATCTAGTTCAATTTCTGATTTTTTACATCTGTTGATATGACACTTCAGCCTCTCCAAACAAGAATGATGTTCCCCCAAAGTTGAAATGAATCTGTACAAGATTTCGCTCAAATACTGAATAAATCCAAATGATTCCCACCTCCTCATCCACTTTGGTGATCAAAATTGTTACGATTGTTTTAAGAAAACAGAAATAGAGGCGACAGGAAATCATTTTTCATTTGGTAAAAGTTAGCCTTTGACACATACTTTAAAATAAATGCACCTACTCCTTTGATCCTCTGTATTTGTGTCACCACAGGGCTCGCTTGTCTTAACAGGATTTTAGTTAATGTCATTTTCAGAAAAGGCAGTCATTTGGAAGCCAAGAGCTCTAGGTATGTTTTGTTCAGATAGCCAAGTAATCTACTATCTTGGCAGTCATTGCTTCTGCTGCACTTCTAATGTGGATCGCATGTGAGAAATTATGTATGCACGCTTTTCAGGTTTATATGGATCTTTAAGGTATGTATTTGTGTTCTATCCTATATTTCCTTTCTTACTACTTTCTTTTATTTCTTTTTATCACTTCAACTAATAGAATATTTTTAAATTTTCTGGAGAGTGAGTTTAGTGTATTCTTTAAGGAATATACTTCCTCATCACAAAAGATACAAAAGGCTAACCTATTACTATCTTTTCTTATCAATATTATTATGATTTGGTTTAAATGCAATTTTTAAGACATTTAGGCTGCTATGCATATGTGTCTTAATGTGCCTTCTCTGGTCATAATTTATGTTGTTTGATAAATCATATAAATAAGTTGCTGTAGATAAACACCTATTTAACAGAGTACTTTGTTTGGGCGAGAGATATTTAAAGAAACTTATATGGCTCCAGAAATTGACTTGCAGCTTCTCAGTGACTTAATTTCACTACACACTGATTTCTCTTTTACAGTATTCAGCTCAGACAGAGACAGGTTTGCGTGCGCTGTTAGATTTACAAATTGCTGATCTCCTCGCGACTTTCCCTGTTAGATCCCAGCTGAGTATGGTTACCTTGAGAACTGTGGCATTAGCCCTGTTAGAGCATGCTCCACTGGGAAGTTCCGTGCAGTCTATTTTTAATGCTATTTAATGAAGGAGCGAGCGCCTCACTCAGCAATAAAAGAAGCATGATGGAAGACAGAGCAGTGCATGGTTATGGATACTGGAGAAGTATATTTGGAAAGGTACAGACTGGCTGCTGGGTATGGTAATTTTAATTAGTCCTAATATATGATACTAACAGAAATCGATTGATGTTAGTGAGAGAATTACACATGAATAGGTTGATATGTTTTCATAAACCTCTTCAGCAATTCTTAGAAAGAAGACTCAATAATTTGAGTGGCTTAAAACTTAAGGGAGATAGTAACCAGGGAGTTCCTGCATACATACTATTTTTAATACAAGCTGTCAGATTCTTGGGTGGTGAGAAGTGCAGAAATAATTTCAGATTCCTAAAATATTGTTCTAGTGAAGGGTTTGGAGTTTGTAAAATGTTCTGGGTGTAAAATAACTAACATCCTTCTGAAATATTATGGTAACTTGAAGCTCTGCCTTGCGAATTTTTTTTTTCATTTTATTTTATAAATCTGGAGTCTAGGTCCAGAATTGTGGCAATAAGTGAAGCAGGAAGTTTTGGTTGAACTTGGTAGAATATTTGAGTTGTTTTCTCTCCTTACTTTGATACAAGCACAATAGATGATCTTATTGAAGGTTAAATATTTTTAAAATGTAGATAGCGGAGGCAGCACTGATAATTTTTGAAATGTTATAATAAGGGGAATATCTTAATATTATAGTGTGTAAAACATAAGAAGCCATCTGTCTGCAATATTTGCATATATGCAAAACACCTGTCGAGGTAGAAAGTGAGGATGGTCAATCAGAAAGATCTCTGTTGTTCATTTTCATATTAACAATGTATTATAATCAGGTTATTTCTTTTAGAGTGAAGTTAATTAGACAAATGCTTAAGTAGTTTCAAAATTAATAAACGTAAGAGAAAGTGAGAAGTTTTTATTAAGTGGGGAAGTGAGTCATATAATTATTGTTCAGTGAAGCTGTTAGAACAGTGTACAAAGTTGTTCTGGATTTTGCCAATTTTTATGAAAAATAATCTCCCCAAAAATAAACCACTAAGGGAAATACATTGCAAGGAGTTGCTGTAATTTGTTGTTGATGTTTGTGTTTTCCACTTTGTACTTCTAGGGGGGGAAATAATCTACACTGGCTTTAATATTTCCCTTAGTGGTCATGCAAATTGGACCACAATGCTGACATCTTTCTCAAGATTCTCAAGTCAGTGGGCATTCTCATCTGAATTCAATGCGTATTTTGTCTATGGACAAGATAATGATAAGCTGCATGAGTAGAGTGTGGAATGAGTCAGCCACTGAAGACACAATATACAACGTAGCCAGAAGTGAATACAATTCTCATTAGTATGGGGAGATAGTTTGAAGCCCATAAGGTTGGAAATGGCAAATCAACCATTTGTATATGTTAGGTTAATTCAGATCTGCTTTGTGACAAGGTTAGGAAAGAATATGGGGCTTAAAAGTGATGTCGACACTGAAAGCCATTTCTTCAAATGGTAAGTACTGGCATCATTCTAACTGGTACCACACGGTGGTAGCCTGTTTAGAAATTTGTGAATCTCTAATCAGAAAAAGAATTGGCTTCCTTAAAAATGCGTTATGTCACCTGGAAAGTTCTGAACATATTTTAAGTCAGTGATGATGAACTTATAAAACATACACTTCCTCTCTTTAGACAAAGGATCTCTATTTTTTAGGAAATCTGTGATTCCAGGGGCTCTAAATTTCTGTGAATTTGCTTTCTTTTATTTTTCATTCTAATATTTAAAGTTAAATATGATAATAATTTCAAGCAGTGATATAAGCAAATGCTGAAGGACTAGTGAAGATAAAAAAGAATATTAGCAAGATGTTTCCGCGACTAGATTTGTTTTTTTCAGGCTATCTTTGCTTCTTTTAAGGTATATTTATGCCAAGTTTTAATAAATTTCTTTTTTTCAGTGCCTCAGAGTCTTATGATTTAAATTAATTTTGCTCTTCTTGGATTAAACTTGCTCTTGGATGTTCAGAGTATTTATTACTTGTATTTACATCACAACCACTTCATTTCTATGAGGATTAGATATGAGCTGAGATACACAGTATTTAAATTGTATACATTAATATAATATGCTTGATAAAGAATAAAGTGCTTGAGACAGGTTGTCAAGTTCATTTGCAGTTTTTTTAATGTTTGGTAACTGTTATCTTGCAGTCTCAAAATCTTCTGTAGTCTGGCGATATTTTCTTAAGGCATAAAATGACCATATAACATTTTGAATGTACCTTTCTCTAAAATTACTGGGACATATCTGTGCCCTGGAAATAACTACGCAGGTAAACGAAAAAGTGAACTGAAATAATTACATCAGGATAATTGAGAGGATATTGAAAAAACAAAGGGATTGACTTGAATACACCAAATTGACTCTCTACTTTCAAACTGAATCTTTAGCATTACATTATGTTCTTCTTTTCTGCTGCCAGCATAGATCTTAATATTGCCAGGTGGAGAGAGTGTTAACCACTGTCCACAGGCACGGTAGATCAATATTTTAAATTCCTCTACATACTTTTCCCAGGGAAATTTCTTCTGGCAGTTTTTTATAACCCCTGCTTAATTTACATGTCAAGGCCACAGGTTATATAAGATTTTTTATAAGTTTTATTATCAAGTGAGATCTATTAGGATAAAATTGCAATTGTGACATTAAAATGTCAAAGAATTAGTCCAAATTTGTCTCACTCAAGGCACATATTTATTATTATTCCTCAGTCATAAATTCATACAACGTTTTTAAAGTAATATACTTTACAATTGTTCCTTTTATCTAGAAACAGAAAATAATTTCATTTTTTCCAGGTAAAAGGAAGAGGGATCCACTAATAATTATCTCTTAAAAATAGGCCTCTCACATTTCACACTACTTCAAAATGATACAACAATTCTTCAATTATAAATCATTGTGGATAATACACAAAGTATTAAGATTTTGTTAACAAAATCACTTCTGTAAATAATAACATTGGTTTTAAGATAAATAAAAATAAAATACGTTTTCAATGGAAAGGAAGGATTCAAGATCTTTAACAGGAAAACAATTACATC